TTACTCATATGTTTTCTTCTAGGACCTTTTGAATCAATGGTTTCCATGGTCCTATTGATCCTCATGTAATAAGTGCAGGATAAATGCTTTCTGGTTGTTTCTGTGACTTCGATGTTTTTAAAGGACCCTTTACTAGTTGGGTTTATATCGTCTTGAGAGGTGCTTCTCAAATATTCTTTGAGTTTATAAGTTTTAGTTGCTCCTGACCTGCATCATTTTGTTCTGTTTGCTTCCTTTCACAAAAGATCATCTCAAAAGACTCATGCTGTATACACGTTTGGTTCTTTTCTTTTTTTTCTTTTTTTTTTTTTGCACTATACTTGATACCTGTCTATTATAGTTATTTTATGACAGAAACTAATAATAGGTAATTAGGGAAACCAAAATGATGACTTTTAGGCTAATTGAAATACATATAACAAAAGAATAAACAAAGGTACTTACTAAAAAATGAGTATGGCCTATGAAGAGCAAATGACTATATCATAAAACTTCCTTTGAAATGTTCCTTGCCCTATCCAGTGTTAGTTTGCATGTCTAGTTAGCATACTTATATGTGCAGATATATTATTATTATTATTATTATTATTATTATTATTATTATTATTGGTGGTGATATATTGTGTACCCTAGTAAATTTTGCCTGAAGATGAGAGAACAGAACCAGCCACTAGATTAAACACAAATGCCAAGCAGTGGTGGCATACACCTTTAATCCTAGCACTTGGGAAGCACACATGCCTTTAATCCCAGCACTAAGAAGGAAGTGATGGCTGGGCGAAGAAAGGTATATAAGGCATGAGGAGACAGGAGCTCAGTCTCTTTTAGGCTGATGAAACCTAGAGGTAAGTTGTGGTAGTGGCTTGTTCCTTTGTCCTTGTGATCTTTCAGCATTTACCCCAATATCTGCTTCCAGGTTTTTATTAAATGACCTTTTGAAATTCGAGCAACAATTATGGTTTGTTACCAGTGAACTGAGTTTATTTTGAAATATCCAGCCTTTAAAGCCACTTTCTCATATCCTAAAGTTACTCTGCCTAGACATGTTTGTGCTGCAATATAAGCTACCTTGTTTGAAGGCTCCTTCATCAAATCATCACCATGAGGTCCTGTTCATCATTGTGAGTGACAAGTATCTCTAGTGTTCAAAATGCCATTTCACCTATAACATAGTGTAGCATTTGTGCATATGTATTTGTTTATGATGTGTGTGCATGTATGTTTGTGTGCTGCATGTGTACAGGTGTACCTCAATATATATACTGAGAGAGAAAGAAAGAGAGAGAGAGAGAGAGGGAGGGAGGGAGGGAGGGAGGGAGGGAGGGAGAGAATCTGAGATTGGCATCAGTATTTTTCTTGATCACTCTCCACATTATATTTTATGGGGTGTCTTACTGAAATTGTGGCTAATATGTCCAGCCAGGTTGCTCAGAGAATCACTTAGTTTGCCTCTAAGCTTTGGTATTATGAAATGTGTCATGATGTCTACCAGATATTTGCCTGTTTATTGGGAATCAGAACTCCAGTTTTCACACTTGTGGCTACTCACTTTACCTGATAAAGCATCACCCTTTACCTATAGTGTGGGATTATTTTTGTAAACTGTATGGTTACTGAAACCATGTACATACTGAGATTCTATATATTTCTGAGATTTCTATATATATTGAGATAGGTATATGTGAGATTTCACAGGTAATCCTAGATGTCATTAAGACAGAAAATATTTAAAACATATAAGGCTACATCCCTGACATTTTCTCATGATAATTGTATGGTGGAAATCTTTAAAGTTATAATTATGAATATGCAAATACTTAATTTTATAGCTTCTTAGTTTTTCATTGATTCTTACAACAAAGATCAAATATCCTAAATATGACTTGAAACACCTAAATGGACTGGATTTCAAATCCCTAGGCTGAGCTTATCTGAGTTTCTTCTAGTACCTATGATTTGCAAGTATGTTTATTTCAGATCCTTTCATAAGATGGGCTTCTTTTCATCCTAGTGTACTGCATATTCTTTTCCCATCGTACCCCAAAACCCAATTACTTCCATGTCTCAGATACCTTCTCTCTCTACACTTCTGCTCTCAGCTTTTGCATTAGTGCTTCATGTACAGATTTATAAAGCTAAGTCCTACTCTTATATGTTCACAATGGTCCTCTAATTTTTACATCAACACTAACACAATTGATGCATTATATTATTGATTTATTTACTATATGCTTTTCTTTTTGCTGCTAAAGAATGGCAGGAATGAATGCCATATATTCTTTCTCATTATATAATGTCAATTACCTAAGACAGAACCCAGCATTCACTAAACATTCAGGAGTCATTTATCAATAAAAGTGAAAGGTTTAAGAACACAAAGAACAGCATTTACATTAAAAAAGAAACATTTTATGCTTTATATTCACAATAATGATAATTATTGACACCAAATGAAAAATGAAACAAACTATTGGTTGATTCAATCTGTGGTTGTGATATTTGCTGATATTTTTATAATAAGTGAAAACAATAATATTTTATATGTATAGTATTCAAAAAGAATCTAGCTATATCTAGAAAAAAAATATATCCAGAAGTAAAAGCATCATTTTTCAGAAAGGATAGTATATACATACAAGTTACAAACCTGACAGTTGAGCTGGTGTGTAAATAACAGCAATTAAGAAAAATATTTTATGTCCTACTAACAATTATTTAACAGTTTTATAAATAACACTGCTTAAACATGTATGAATCTCACAGAGTTTGTTCTGATGACATTGAACTTCATGTGCCAAATTGACTTGGATGGGAATGCTCAGGTGAGTGATAAAATTTCATTTCTGGGTGTGTTCATGATGGTTTCTCCTGAAGAAAATCACATTTGAACCACTACACTGAGTAAGTAATATTCATTCCCAGGGGTGAGAGTCAGCATTGTTCAATCTGTTGGGGGTGTGATAAGAAATAAAAGGCAGAATAGCTCATCTTTCCCTGCTTGAACTGAGACACAAATCTGTGCTTTGCTGTCCGTGTTTCATGTTTTGGCTCTTGTGCAATACTAGTTGAAGATGTGTTACATTTGTTTAAGCTATGTAACATTTATTTAATGATTCAATGATGTGCTGCATTCTTTTGTTACATTTCTTTTTTCTTTTACTTTTCTTTTCTTTCTTTCTTTTTTTTTTTTTGAGACAGGGTTTTTCTGTGTAGCTTTGCACCTTTCCTGGAACTCACTCTGTAGCCCAGGCTGGCCTTGAACTCACAGAAATCCCCCTGGCTCTGCCTCCCAAGTGCTGGGATTAAAGACCTGCGCCACCACCATCCAGCTTGTTACATTTCTTTAACTCTGTGAAGCTGTATTACTTTGCCTGTCTGAATCACCTGATTGGTCTAATAAAGGCCTGAATGGCCAATAGTGAGTCAGGCGAAAGAATAGGTGGGGCTGGCAGGAAAGAGAATAAATCAGAGGAGAAATCTGGGAAGGAGACAGAGGAGCAAGAAAAGAAGAAGGAGAAGAGGACATCAGGGGCCAGCCACCCAGCTATACAACCTGAAATAGAGTAAGAAGGAAAGAAAGTTATAAAGAATAGAGAAAGATAAAAGCCCAGAGGCAAAAGGTAGACAGGATAATTTAAGTTAAAAAAAGCTAGTTACAAACAAGCCAAGTTAAGGCCAGGCTTTCATTAAAAAAAAAAAAAAAAAAAAAAAAAAAAGAGTAAGACTCCATGTGTGATTATGTGTGATTGTGATTTATATGTGAACTGGATGGAGGGCCCCCCAAAGAGTGAAGCATAAAAAGAGGAAAGAGTAAAACAACCAACAACAGACTATGACTTTCCTTAGTACACTCCCCAACTTGACTCTAAATTTTTGACCCCAGAGTGAATTCTTACTGGTTTCTTTGGTTTCATAGCTGATAGATTACTGGGGTATTCAGCTTCTGCAACACAGTGAGCCAATTCTTATTATTTGCAATTCACCTTATTTATTCCTTATTTGTCAATTCCCATGCAGAACTGCAACATGTTCCCTAACATACTTGTCCAAATGGTGTTCCTGAAGAATTTATCATCTGATCTTTCACATTCCTGTGTAAATGTGAATTGACTGACATACAGTGTGATGAAATCACCTAAACTTGTGTCCACTTTTAAGAATGGCAAGTATATGCCACTGCATGTATTAAGTGAACTGTTTGTATACTCAATACTAACAGAGAGCTCTTAATGTTTTAAAGCATCGGCCTGGCAGTGAGGTATTTGTAACTCTTGATAAAATGGTTTTGATTATTCCTTACCTAAGTGCCTTATCATAAGAACTATTGTTCATCAAGTGCTCTTAATCTTGGCCATATCCATCCCTTATAAGTGAGTTATAAACAAGAATTATATCCTGATTGAATAATAAAAAGGGCTACCTAAATAGTTAATAAAGAATGCTTCCCTAGTATTCTCAGCAAAGTTGTGAAGCATACCATTTTACTCAGTAAATGTCTTTATCCTAAGACTAAGAAAACCAAGAAATTAACATATTGCAATATTTGCACTATCATTTTTGGGTTCAAATAAATAATGGGGATGCTAGTTACTATCAGAAAGACAATGTTATCCTTTTGATAAGAAAATAAGAGTAAAGGCCAAAGATAATATCTGATTTTAGTAAATAAGCCATTTTGCAATTTGACCATGTTTGATTGCTGAAGCTTTAATCACCGAATCTGTAGCAAGAGATACAGGAAGGAACCCTAGCCATTACACTACCATAATAAAATATATGGAGTTCAAAATTATGATTTTAGTGGTGATTAATTCAAAGTTTGATCAAAATTATCCATGAGTGACTGTTTCTTTACTAGAGATCCACACACTAATTATCATTCAATTGATCTGAATATCAAACAGCAAGACTCCTGGCCCTCTGAAAACAAACACTCCCCCCCCCCACCACCAATGATTCTCCCTTCCAATCTCTGGTAAAAGCAGAACTGAGACACTTACCTTCAAACAGCTCAAAACTGGGTCCACTCATAGCTGAAGTGAAAGAATCACTGAGAGTGATGATAAAGCAGCACTGCTAAAATGAACTGGAAGCCAACTGTAAGTCTTTAAGGATTATCCTAATTCCTAATAACAGACCTATAGAACTGAAACAATTCACATCCTGCATGATACACTATTATCAAACTAGATAAAATGAGCCTCAGAAGAAAATTAAAGAACTGGCCTTGGAGTTTAAAGTTTACATAGTGAAACTTGGGCTGGACTTCAAACTCAGGGTCAAAGCCAAGTTCCTAATCAGAACAAAAGGTAAGAAAATTAAATAATAATAACAAAATAAGAAAGAGTTGTTCTTGAAGATAGGTATAACAAAATACTTGAAAATTTTCATTTGAAACGGCAGGGCCCAACATACACTAAGTGCAATAGTTTTGCTTTTTTCCGTCTTTTTTTTTTTTTGGTTGTGGAACTGGTGCTATTGAAGTTGGGGTTTTGGAGAATTAGGATAGAATAAGAACCAATAAATCTTCTTAGCATTCTTATCCTTCTTTCATTTTCATTCTATCTCTTATCCTTCTATACATACAAAAGTGAATGAACCAAACTCATAAATCCCATAAAAGCTACCCTTAATCTGTCCCCTTTTAGTATGCTTGTAAAAGAAGGCCAGTGGCTTTAAGTGAAATGTGATAGAGCCTGAAGCAGAGTGCTTTTCAAAGTTCTTAGGATTTTGCTCTGGGGAAAATATCTGGTTATTTTTCTTAGAAGTAGAAAATATATACAGTGAAGTAAATCCATTCACGATATAGCCAATTCTTTCTGAAAGAAAAAAAAAAGCCAGTATTAAGGTATCATCAATATACCTGTCTGTAACCACTGGCCAATTTATATGCACATTTCTAAGTTTAGAACCACAAGCTGAAATGGCTACAATTTTGATTTTATTCATTTCAAGATATTTAATAAATACTTTTTATCAATTCATTTTGTTAAGAAGTGAAAACAGTTATGAGAGAGAGAAAGAGAGAGAGAGAGAGAGAGAGAGAGAGAGAGAGAGAGAGAGAACAAAAGCATTTTATTAATTGAATAAGAACTATTGTAGAGGATTATGACACAACTGTGTAGATATAAAACTTAAACTACTGTTACCTGATTGAATACTAAACAAAATTCTCACCCTGTTTCTGATTGTTGTATTTACCACTGGCAACACAGGAAGAATGGCCCCTCCCTAGGACACACCTTCTTTCAATGTCTTCTTGAAATTAAACATTAAGGATTGTTTTAGCTACCCTGCATTTTTTGCTTTTCCATAGGAAGTTGAGTATTATTTTTTCCAGGTCTGTGAAGTATTGTGTTGGAATTTTGATGAAGATTGCATTGAATCTGTATATCACTTTTGTTAAGATTGTCGTTTTTTACTATGTTAATCCTACCTATCCATGAGCATGGGACATCTTTCCATTTTCTGATATCTTTTTCAATTTCTTTTTTCAAAGACTTAAAGTTCTTGTCATTCAGGTCTTTTACTTGCTTAGTTAGTTACCCCAAGGTATTTTATATTATTTGTGGCTATTGTAAAGGGTGTTATTTCTCTGATTTCTTTCTTGTCCCATTTATTGTTTTTATATAGGAGAACTACTGATTTTTTTTAGTTAATCTTGTATCCTGCCACATTACTGAAGGTGTTTATCAGCTGTAGGAGTTCCCTGGTAGAATTTTTGGGGACACTTATGTATACTATCATATCGTCCGCTAGTAAAGAAAGTTTGACTTCTTCCTTTCCAAATTGTATCCCCTTGATCTCCTCAACCAAACCAAACTAGTAGGAACTCGTGAAATTTAGAACAATACCTATGGAGCCTCCACAGGACTAGGCCCTCAGCATAAGCAGGACAGTTGTGACGCTTGATCTGCTTAAGGGGCCCACTGGCTGTAGGATCAATATCCATCCCTGATGCATGAGCTGGCTTTATGGAGCCAACTACCTATGATGGGACATCTGGCACAGCCTTGAGCCAGGGGGAGGGGCTTTAACCTGCCTCTAATGAATGGACCAGACTCTACTGACTCCCCATGGGAGGCCTTACCTTCTTGGAAGAGGGAATGGGGGGGGTGGCTGGAGGGGTGGAAGGAGGGAAGAGGGGGATACATGACTGGTATGTAAGATGAATAAAAATTTGCTTAATTAAAATAAAAAGAAAATGAGAAAAAGAAATTAAACATTTAGTAGCTTACTACTGAGATATAGAATCTAGTTAAAGCCCTGTATCTATCTACAAGAGCATCTAAGACATTGAGTTCTATAGCTTATATCATGATGAAAGAAGATTGATAAGGCTGTATATTTCCCAGTGAGTACACTTAAAAGATGCTGAATAACTACAATACAGGATATATTTGCATGATATGGATAAAATAAAGGAAGAAGTATAGCTGGCCATAGCTCAGATGTTCATAGCTTGACCTTTCAAGACCAAGTGGAGACATTTAGTGTAATATTCATGAGTTCCTCTGTGGTAGTGCAGCAATTATATCATGTCAAGAAAAAAGCTTTTTCCCCAAGTACAATATATTCAATTTTATTTTCATTTCTTTTCTCTTTCAGTAAGACCTGTGTATAATGTAACACGGACATTAAGAAATTTTATCACACAGATCAAATAGATCTATATAACTGTCCTGAAAACTTCAGTTTGGAACTGGGCTTCCCATGTTTATGAGGACCTAACTATGACTGATCCTTTGATAATGAAAAATATCATGATGGTGGTGCTGATCATACCAACATAGATTGTAAATTTCCTCTATACCAGGAAATACATGTATTTTATTTATATCTTACATGTATTTTAAGACACTGAGTGTTGTAAAAGTTTACACTTAATCTTGAAAACCTTGAAGGCAGATTGATTTTGGTGGTGATGGGTAACATTGAGTTGATCTAACTATGTAATCCAAGCTATATTCACTTTGAAGATCGGGCCGACCTTGAACTTTCAGTAATTCTGCTTTTGCCTCCAAAGGGCTGGGATGATAGGCTGTAACCCAACACCTGATGATACTCTTATCCAGTTTTGTAGTTCAGCAAACTGAAGCACAGGCTAGGCACACAGACATATGGCCACTTAAGAACTGTTACAGTTGTGCCAAAGTTTCTCGTGTTTTCCTCAATTTTAGGTACATGTTAAATATATGTGTTTGAAGTACAAACAATGCATATCAAATATATTCTGCTACTGTCTTGGACTTAAAAATACAAAGTCTTTGTTTTTGACCTGAGAATGAGTGTGATCATCTTTTTTAATGCACACTCAAATCTGACACATTTTGCCCATGTAAGGATTCATTGAATTACCACAGAATACTTCCATCATGAAAATTTAGAAAACTGTAGTTCATAAGGTTAATTAAGAAGTTATGAAAATTTAAATGAAAAGACAACCAAACAACTATTTTGGACTAACCAAGATATGCCCAATTAATGCCTTTTAAAGAGAAACAAATAATTTTAAAAAAAAAAACTTTTCACTTAGAATACACAGATTTTGAATATGCAACTGTATATTCAGTGCAAAGTACGTCTGTTTAGAATTTACAGTAATCATGTATGTATTATTTCTTATTTTGATTATCACACAAATTATGAGGTTTCATTGTGGAATTTTTTCAAATAAATTTTTATTGTTGTTCATTTAATCTAAAGTTCATAGCAAACCCAAATTCCTGTATGGATGACGGAATTTTGTGTAAGCAGACATTACCAACAGTCAACTGGCTTGTAACTGAGTCGGTGGCTCTTCTAGAATTGGAGGCTCCATTGCTGATAGCAAACATGTATGTGTGTGTCAAGCAACCATAAGACAGAAACACTATACCATAAATTTGACTGTAATTGATATTTTAATGCCATTTCTAGTTTATTTCATTTATTGCAGGTCTAATAAACTTCTGTTGTATACATACATAGCTTTGAATGTTTCTTAAAGGAATTAAACATGTATCAAGATAAGTAAAAGTAGAATACACATTATCTAATACTGGTTTGCTGTTATATTAAATAAATATTTTCACGTTACAAACTCAATACATCTGACCTTAATAAAGAAAAAGCATAAGTATTACAAACTTTATCCATCAAACCACAAATACACCAATATTCTAAGAACTCTAAGTGAAGTCTAAACAGATTTTAGAACATTTTTTATTTAAATTTTTTTCATACAGTATATTTTGAGCATTTTCTCCTCCCAGGTCCTCCCTACATACTTCTCAACCCAAATTTATAATATTTTTCTCTTTCTTTCAAAAAAGGGAAAAAAACAAAATGTAGAAAACTAAAAACAAGAGAAAATTAATAATTATAAAACATCAAAACAATAATTTAAAAAAAGGTTACAAAAAACAAATCAGCAAACAAAAAACATACCATATGTTTTTGTGTTGACTAACTACTCTAGGCATGGGGCCTGCCCTGGCTTGTGGTTGATATACCAAGTGACACTCCATTGGAGAAAATTGATTTTTGCTTTCCAAATTACAAACAGCTTTTTGGTTAGGGGTGAGATTTCTGTAATAACTTCTCATTCTCGGTGCTAGAATATTGTCTTGTTTGAATACATGCACATCTTGTGCATGCTTGTCACAGTTTCTATGTTCATATATAAGTCCTGTTGTGTCTGGAACATAATATTTTCTTGGAATCATATATTACCCATGGTTCTCTCAAGCCTTTTTGGGCCAGCAGCTCAACAAGTTGTAACCACTCAAGTTTCACTTGGTGGCATAAGATGCTCATTTATTTTTGTATTGCCTACCCCGTTCTATGGTGACTCCATTTAGATTCCTTTCATATATGTATATATTTTAAGAGACTTATACACTAGTAGGTTCCCATACATCCTCTCACATGGCCTATACTGTTAGTTGTCCCTCCCCAGGTCCTCTTATTTACCCTGTATTATCATATACCTTGACACTCAGCCCTCCTATTCTGATTTCCCTTTTATCTTTTATAAGACTGTATACTATTTTCCCCTACATGCAAGATTTCCTATTTCCCTGGTTATGGTGATATTTTGTTTGTGCTGAAATGTGATTTTATTTGTATGTTAATAAATAAAGTTGCCTGGGGGTTAGAGCTAATAGCAAGCCATTTAGCAGAAGTCTGGCAGTGATAGCACATGCCCTTAATCCTGATCACATGACAGGAAGATCTATGTGTGTTCAAGGACACAGCTAGCATGGAGACACACGCCTTTAATCTCAATACCAACCATAGAGACCTGGAGACGGGCAGTGATGAGGAGGTCATGTGGTTGGGTTTACAACCAATGAGAAGGCAGAACAGAAAGCCAATAAAAAGACAGACACACAGGAAGTAGGTCACTTTCTGAGGGGAAGGACGATAGCAACAGCGAGGGGTAAGAAGGCAGTCTTGTTCTTAGCTCTTGGCTGCTGCTCGATCTCTGGGCTTTTAACTCTGCATTTGGCTGTGTGTTTCTTATTTAATAACACCGTTCAGAATTACATCTACATTTGGTCTCTTTCTAGGTACCTGACCTCTGTATTTACTTAGATTGAAACACACATATCTAAAGTTTACATCCACATGTAAGAGGAAACAATTTATGTAAAGAAAATTTTCATACTCATATACACTGAAATGTACCTCCTCTCTTTTTTGAACTTTATATTTCTGGTTCCTACTTTTCAAATAGAATCAAACTTTCTTTTAGTTCTAAATCTCATTTTATTAATGTTCCTTAAATAAATACAAAACACCATTCTGATCAGCCACAGCTTCTTCTTGT